GGACTGCTGTAAAAACTATTAGGTTGGAAAGAAAGTCCTGCAACACTTTTTCAAATTTTTGATTTTAATTTTATCTTTTTTGGTTACAACTTCCTGACCGGTCTTATATCTACCATGAGTGTCCACCACTTGTCTCCATCGCTCAGAAAATTTCTTGATCCTCCTTTGCCAAAACCCAGCGGAGTGCGAGTCGAGAAAGGAGGCGACCTCACTTTCGAGTTGGAGTTGATCGTCTGATTATTTCGTTATAAAGATGATGATTAAAGGTCCAGGATAGGTAGCACTTTATTTACAGCTCGACCAGGGGATTACGCTAAGAGAGGAAAGAAATCTTGCCGCAACTCCAGAATTTCTTACCGGGCTCATTTCGGATCATGGTGATTCGCAATGTCATGAAAGAAATGAATATTGTCGCGGTACGAGGGCTCTTGACGAGCTACCTCGGCCAGCTTCTGGTACTTCACAACCTAGGCCACTGCCTACACAATGGTGCCCATAACGAAGGGTATGTAGTGGAGCTTCTGTAAGAGCCCTACCTGTAATGGAGTGTGAGGGATGCTGCTGGCTTCTTATAAAAATATCAAAAGATCGGAAGCGCTGGTAAAGGTGAAACACGCTGTATCGCTGAACGGCATGCCATTAGAAGCTATTGCAGATAGTGTCAGTCGTTGACACGAATCCATGGTTTTGTAGACATTTGTACTAGACAGTGACTCGGAGTACGGATTTGCTAGTGGTCGAGATTTTTTGAATTTTCTTGGATAACTACTGACTGCAGAACTTATATCCACCTCGTGGATTGAAGCCTTGAGAATGCTCTATCATTTGGTAGTCATAAATGTTACCTATGAATTTTTCAGAAAAAAAGAAAATTTTGAAAGAGTGTTGCAGAACTTTCTTTCCAACCTAATATAACATACTGACGAAAAACCCGTAAACAGGGCCTCATTCTAGCAGGTGATTTTCGGTGATGGATGTGGATGTGATCCATACATAATAGCCTAAACATCGCGGCAACGTTGGTACCACGACAAATTGAGCGTTAGCTATCGCTATCCCCCCCCTGCCAAGCAAAGCTTAGAGCGCAGGACAGAACATTGGCTCTTGAACGCGACCGTTTGCGGGTTATAGGCGGACCAGCGTTAGGCCGATGTCAGACTTTGCGAATTCGCGCGATTCGCTCGCGTTGCGGGGTACCAGCCAATTGAGTGATTCACTGGCCGCGACGCGACCGCAGACGCTAGCGAATCGCGCGATTCGCAAAGTCTGACAATCGGCCTATACCAAGCCGGCTCGTAGATTTACAAATTGCTCTAAGCACAAGTACTGCGGTTATAAGGCAGGTTCTGGTTTCTTGAGCACCATAGAACAAATAATCGGGTGTTCTTATTCAGTTTATTATAAATTTTTCATAATCTCCATTATGGCAGCTAATATTTAAATACAAATTTAGAAACATATCACATAAAATTAATCACACTACACTTTTGAACACAGATCGAAATAACGTGAATGCACCATGTGTGAGGCCGAGATAGAAGTATTACGAAATGGCTGACTACTGCTAAATTTGGGCAATTGCAAGAGGAACAAAGACGGCGAATAGAATCGTGAACCCAAGAAAGGAGCTAATCACATAGATATCACACAAAAGAAAAGAATAAATACAAATTCAATAGATATAGACATTCTAAACACTCAAGGTTGTCATGAAGGGTGACGTTCAAACGGATAACTGCGACGGTTCTCAAATGCTAACGGATCAAAACTCACTCATTCACCGATTTTGGACTTCCGTGTAACAATTGTCACAGACCCTAACAGGGTTTTTGTGACTGGCAATCCTGCAATTGAGGGATAAGTTTATCAGGGAAAAATTTCTTTCTCTTTAGCAACAAACAAAGTCACGTATGACCACAACAAAGACTTACTGCGTAGTTTTTGAGCTACAGGGAGCACAGAAGATCAGGCCGCAAACACGACAGTGATGTTTTCGAACTGTCAGGCTGAACACTTTCCCGCAGGTTGTACAGTTAACAGCAGCAGAATCATCAAGCCACGTTCGTGAAGAATGTTTTGAAATATCCATCTAAAATAAGTTCCGTGTAATAAGAATAAAATGTTGGTATATTTTTAGCTTGCATTTAGAGACAAAACCTCGAGAGAATTTCAGCATCTGAAAATTGAGAAATTCAGAAAAAGGACTCATGTTTCCTCAATAGCCACCTCCAGTAACAAAGAGTCGTGGAGCTATTGGAAGTGGACAAAAATGGCTGCGTCAGCACCACTTCAATGAACACGCCCAAGCTGATTACTGAGCCAGAAAACAGACAAGTAGCGTTGATTTCAAGCTCTAGAGTCAACTAATCAGAAAATGTTGGAATTTTTTATTGATGGTCCCTTCCATGAGATTGTGATTGGTTGAGGGGGGAGGGAGCGCTGGAAGACAGAAAGGGGTCTGAAAACACTCCCAGTGAGCCAGGTGTGGACCCCAACCTAGCTTAAGCTTTCAGCGTTTGCAATCCCTATCCTTGACTCTTGAAGGGCGGAAGTGGTGTAGTGACAAGTGGCGCACGCTTACCACGCGAGCGGTCCGGGGATCAAATCCTGGGTCGTGAGTCGCCCGGGCCAACCAAGCCTTCCATCCCTCCGGGGTCGGTTAATTGGTACCAGACTTGTCTGGGAGGATAAAAAACACTGACTTGAACATCGGCTGGCCCCCGCAAGTCATTGTATAGGCCACATCGCATTCAAACGCCACTGCGAATGTACAAATGGAAGTAGAATGCGTGCCGCATCCCAAAGGCGGGATTGATCAACGGCAAATGCTTTATCCTTTTTTTATTTTATCTTGAATTCTTTGACACCCAGTGGTACACTCATGCACCAGAACACAGTAGCATCCCCGCACCAGATCAAAGATTTTGGGTAAAGGGTAATCACAGCAATTACATTTCACGCAATCTTCCTCTTCTTATTCTTCAGCGTGTCCCGCTTGTTGGTGGGGGGGGGCCGCCTTTCTAACATTGTGATCGTGACGTGGGTGTTCGTAAGATGGCCAGTTACGGGGGCCTGCCGCCTGCACACGAATGTCCGCGATCAGCTCAGCCCACAAAGAGTGAGCAGTTTACAGTGGCACCACTCGCAGGAACGGACACCACCACCGACATATATATTTTACGCAATAGTAGTGCTTTTTCTTGTATTTTTCTTCCTGGGCACTGCATTATAACGAAGAAATAACAGCAGTAAATGTGGGTTGAATTTACTGTAGGAGAAAGGAAAAGAAGAAAAACAACTCCTGCACAAGAAAAAATGTTAAATTTATAAAAATGGAAGGAAAAAACTTTAAACTTGTGACGTATTGCATACCTGAAGGGACTGATTTGCACGTCCAAGCTCATGCATTGCCGAGAGTGCTTCATCGAATCGACGCTTATTCTCCATTGCCCTTTCTCGTTCAAAGTCCAAATCGCTTTCGGTATTCAAACATCTAACCACAAATCACAAAAAAATGGCAAAATAAAAATAGCCAAAATGCAGCGATAAAGGCGCACCGTTCAATAAGGGCGTTCTTCTCCTCCTCCCATGAAGAAATCTTCTTTGATAGTTCTGTAAAACAAAGATTTTATGAAGTACAGACAAAAATAAATGAAAAAAAGCGGCAAAGCTAACCCTAGTTTGTCGTTGTTTCATTTCATTCTGCGTTTCACGGCCATCTGTCGAAATTCTGATTTGCTCGTCTAATTCAGACTGTATCGCTTTGATCGACCGTTTCAGAGATGATATTTCCTCACTCAGCTTGGCCTCCTTTGAAACCGCTATCGACTCTATTTCTGCCACATTTGAGGTCAGACGTTCCTTGAAAAGCAGTTACTTCGACCCTGTGAAGAAATAGCATTAAGAAAATCTCAACGTACGATCTCAGCGTCCTTCATAGACAGTCGCGATCCTTAGAGAATTGGATATCTTTGGACAACTGCTCAAACTGCGAACATCTTGCTTGTGCCTGTAATTAAAGAACATCTCAACCGTCGACAATTGGCTCTTAATCTTTTCAATAAACGAACATTCGCTAGCTGTTCTTCTTTTGCTCTGATAGATCCCCGGAGTTCTTCCGCTTCTTTCTTTAGTTGTTCGATACTTTCCTCCGATAGCTGAAGTAAACGAAATTCAACACGAATCTGTCCTACACGGTCCGAAGAAGGAATAAAAAAGGCCTTTCAAGAAAGTGGGACATTAGGTGCGACTTTATCCTTTAACAATTGATTCCTTCGCACACATTGTCAACTACATGCGCCTTCCATCCTTACGCTAATAATGTTGGGTAGAGATACACGAATTCTAGACTACCAGCATTTTAACAGTCCAATCGAAGCCATCAGTTGAAGAGAGAGAGGCCACGTAGCAGGTGGCTAGCTATATTAGCACTCGGCATCGTCATGTAAGCGTATGACAGGGCCGAAATAGGGTACTCCAAATTTAACTACATAGCACCATGTGAACAAATCCGGCCCCGCAAAAAACAAAGCTTCAAAAAGGACGAATATTTCAAAGCGAAAAGGCTGTGAAACATTGACGGTGCCCGCAGACTCTTCGACATACCATCTCACGGGAAGAACGGGGTGATTCAGAAAAGATAGAAGAAGAATCGTTTACGCTGACAAAACTATCGACTGTGGGATATCGTATTTCACTGTCAGCTGACAAACAACTAACGAGAATGACAGCGAAACGATTTAAGGTAGGAAACAAAAGGTAAGAAAACAAAAAGAATGAAGAAGGAGAATGAATGAAGAAACGCTGCACTAACCTTTGAAGCTTCCACCTGCTGAACCCGTAACAGTGCACATTCTTCAACTGCTCCTTGCCGTTCCACTTCCAAAGTTTCGAGCTTGCGGCGTTCGTCAGCTATTTCAGATTCGAACTTCGCCTAACATCGAATGAATGGTTCAATCTAAGATTGCATGAAGTTTGCAAATAAGTAACAGCGTACCATACGCTCGTGGAATTGTTCAAGCTCCATTGACTTGCTGTTTAGCTCATCCTGCAGTCGTTCACTCGAGCCTACCAGGTGGCGAATTTCCTACAAAACATTACAAATCAGAGCTGGTTTCCAAGGAAAGCGCTGAATTCACGCAAAACTTGCCTCGTCTTTAGCGTCACGATCAGCAATCAGGTTCGCCTTGTCAGTTTCTAGCTGCTGTACCGATGATTCCAACTCAGCCTGTCGAGACTCAAAGTTCTTTTGTGCAGTATCCAGTTCGATTTTGGCATCAGCCAGAGCATTTTCCACAGACTAAACTGTCATTTTCAAATCAAAGTTCAATGAAACCTTCCCAGGTTTTCTGTACCAAAAAAATGTTAGTGAGAACAGAGTATGGGCAGTAAAATTGTTGTCAAGGTTGACACTTCGCTCAAGCCTGCTATTAACACGTTGGAGACCGCTCGTATTTTGTTTTGTGGCCGCATAAGACTTCAGCAAAATTTTTAGGATCTCATCAGGTAAATTGAAAAGAAAAACGATACTGTACCATGCAGAAGAAACCTTATCGAATGAAATGGAAAAAAAGCGAAAGAAAAACCTAATATTGTTTCCGAAATGTGGGCTGAAAGGTCCTACGCGGTCGACGGACTGCAGCCCACATATGGGCTGCATGGGCTCCAAGGTGTTAATATGATTGGTAGTTTGGAACCAAAACACATCACTACTGCTCAAACTCTGACAAGTGAAATTGCAGAATTCGATTGAAGTCATGGCCCAACTGGGGAAACCAGGAGGCCGTATGCTGAATGTTGGGTAGGGGACGGGGATGGGTGAACGTTGGGGAGGTTCGTCGCAGGACCCACTGGGCAACGGCCGCACCTTTGATTTTGCAGCTTTGTTTCCATTCTTTCATCGCTGCTTTTGGTATGAAGAAAGGTATTTACGTGCGAATATACAATCAGAAACAGTAAAAGGATGGAAACAAAGCTGCAAAATCAAAGGTGGCCTGCG